CGGTCACTCAGTTACTTTGCACATGCCCCATCCTCTTGTCCATGCGCGTCTTGAAACCAGGCAGTCGTAAACGATGTGGGGACTTTTGCCATCCACTCCACTGCTCTTTTTTGCACCTATGTTGAGCAAACTAAAAATCACCATCTCAAATCCTGTCACTAATCTTTCCGTACTTCGTTAGATGGGATTTGAGCTGACTCCCGCATAGTTGAATAGGATTAAAAAGCAATGAAATGGAGACAGCCTGATCAAGTTAATTCCTAATCAAGTCGTTCATTGCACTTGCGATAAGCAGCGTAATCGCGCAGAGCAGCTTTAGATTTTATGAAGTTACGTAGCTGAATCAGCTTACTTACTGATTTACTGCACGAAAGTTGGTGAAAAATTACCTCATAGAAAAGGTCATCCTTACTACTTCTTTCACTCACTGCTACTCCCTTCCCTTCTAGAACAGCTAGATATCTCGCTCTTGGTAGAGCCCGAATTGGGAATTTTGCGGATGTGCCGGCTATGGTAGGGGCGTTATTCATGATCAGGGTCACTCTTCGATCTCCTGCTCGGTTTAGCGTGTGGGGGATGGAGTGATCTAACCATTGTTCGAATAGTTCATGATTTATGTCGTCATGATGATCATCTTCTTCACTCCGTTTGCCACAAAGAATCATCCTCGTGCACTGTGGGATAACTCCATCTTCAGCCTATAACTATCGCTCGGTGCCCCTTATTCTTCCCTGTTGTTCTTCCTCCGATCGAATACCTTTCCATAACTTCCCTCGGGACAAATCTTGTGATGGTATTATCGTTCCACCTCCTTTTTCTCACCCGTAAATTCACGTTCCATCACTGTAAATGAGACAGCCTTCGCGATCTCTAACTTCACTGATGTAAAGCAAGTATTGCGACCGCTTAGGGACAATGTCTGACTTATCAAGGACAACCTTGCGCACCATTCCTCCTGTACGAAGATAGTGCTCTCACAAACTCGTATAAAGTGGAGGAAAGGTAAAGTTCTGGTAATCTGCGGAAAGCC